AACAGTTTATGCTCTTATTGTATAATGGATATCAACATGTTAAAACCAGTGTAGTGGAAGCTACAACAACAACAGTTTATCTTCTTATTGTATAATGGATATCAACATGTTAAAACCAGTGTAGTGGAAGCTACAACAACAACAGTTTATCCTCTTATTGTATAATGGATATCAACATGTTAAAACCAGTGTAGTGGAAGATACAACAACAACAGTGGAAGCTACTAGAATAACAGTTTATCCTCTCATTGTATAATGGATATCAACATGTTAAAACCAACATGTTGATATCCATTATACAATAAGAGGATAAACTGTTATTGTTGTAGCTTCCACTATACCATGTAGTATGGTCTACAGTAATGAAGTGTTGATATCTACATATATCACTGTACTACACCTATTGGTATTGTATGTACATATTCTGTTACAAAGTTTGCTGTATGAGTTGAAGTAAGCACCTTTTGTAATGGCTTTATAGTTTTGTAAGTGATTAACACAGATAATATGCTTCAATTAATATATACATATTAGTGGTCCCAACTTAGGAATTCTGACTTGATAAGGAAAGGATTAATATTATAAGTGAAACAGCGAAGGATTTGTTTAAAGATATACCAACACTAGTTTAATAATAGAAATGAAATGTTTTGCATTACAGAGGTTTTAGTATGTTACATTAAACAATTTTAAATATATCAATCACAGTTAGTATATAATTATAGTGGAATGGTATGTATCAAATGTACAGGTGATGTAATACCTTTTGGGTAGGGTATATAACAGCTCATTCTGAGGTAGAATATTATATCATGAAGATGTGTTTAAATCTGGGATGTTCCTTGTACTTAATGGCATTGTAAAACAAAGGAATATGGATGAACTTGAGGCACTCGGATCATCTAAAAAGATACTCGAAACAAGTTGTATTCAAGCAAAGTGTGGCATCTTGTAACATGTGAGAATCCATGAACAGAAAGCTCAATGTCAAAAGCAATCCACATGCTCCAAGCAACAGTATGCAATATAATCAAGAATGATCTTCATCTGGAAATGAGGCCAACTGGGTATGAGTTTACCAAGATAAGGCTTCCATTCATATCACCCTTTAAACCATCACATACCTCAAGGAATGAATCAAGTAGTCATGCTGCTCAATATAAAGACATATCAGTCAAGTTGCCATATGTAGCACCCTTGGATTTCTGTGTGATCAGACTGTTGAAACAGGAGCTGAGAAACTGCTGTCCTCATACACTAGATGATTTATGGAAAGCTGCAGGAAAGAGGAGTGTCCTTTGGACATGATCCTTACAGTGTAGACTTTTGGAATAGAAACTATACTGCAGGCTTATTTTTAAGATGCATGGTTGTCAGAAAGAGTATGACAAGATGTGGTGAGGTTTACACTAGTATTCTGGCAAGTACTCTTTTATCATGGGTCTTTATCAACACAAGACCCTCCAGATCATTCTTCATCCTGACTGAGACCCATTAAACCCATAGATACTGAGTACCTTGACAATACTGTGAATTTGCTATGGGCTCCTGAAGTTATTCTGAGGTCCCCAGGGATCTGTGGTCTCCAGTTTTGGAATCCCTCCTGTATATCATCTTCAAACCACAAATAAATTCTGTGTATCAGCTGATCAGAACTTCATAATCCAAAAATATAATTCACTATCTCCAAATTACAGAGAAACTTTTGCCTGTTTAAAATATAAATGTTAATGATTGCTCCAAAGCAAGCATTAAGTTAAAATTACATTTTCAAGTTCACCAGAACAGATTTTTTACCATTCAGAAGTGCTCGTGTTTACCATGTTGTGACTATCAACTTTTGTGTTTCACAGATTATCAATGTGTTTAGCTTTAAATAACAAAATGATAAGTTAGACTATCTAAATGTATACTTATTTGGTTTTTTCTCATAGAAAATGCAAAGTTCTGATGCTAAACTGACCCCGTCGCAGCAAGCCCGGGTCGAACGTAACAGACAGAGAGCACTCCTCCTACGGCAGGCCAGATTGGCGAAGCAGTGTCCCCAAGTCCGGTAAAAAAATAAAAGTATAGCGTAGTAGTAGTTGTATTTACAAAACTGTAAGTCCTATATAGAGGTAAATGTTAATTGTACTTACACTCAGTTACAAATTCCTTGTGTGGATGATGTTTTATTTTGTAAACATCAAATTGCTGAAAGTGTTTGTGTAATACGAAGATGCTAGATGTTAGCATACGTAATATTGATGTTAGTTGTGTTATTACAGTTGTACAACAATGTAATATTGATGTTAGTTGTGCTATTGTAGTTATACAACAATGTAATATTGATGTTAATTTGTTATTACAGTTGTACAACAATGTAATATTGATGTTAGTTGTGTTATTGTAGTTATACAACAATGTAATATTAATGTTAGTTGTGCTATTGTAGTTGTACAACAATGTAATATTGATGTTAGTTGTGCTATTGTAGTTATACAACAATGTAATATTGATGTTAGTTGTGCTATTGTAGTTATACAACAATGTAATATTGATGTTAGTTTGTTATTACATTTATACAACAATGTAATATTAATGTTAGTTGTGCTATTGTAGTTATACAACAATGTAATATTAATGTTAGTTGTGCTATTGTAGTTATACAACAATGTAATATTGATGTTAGTTTGTTATTACATTTGTACAACAATGTAATATTAATGTTAGTTATGTTATTGTAGTTATACAACATCTAAATAGGGAATATGTATTTTTTTCTATGTCCCAGTACCTGTAATTATTTATATGTATCTATGTATGGTAGGGAAGCAGTTGAAAACAAGACAACTAACTTAAGAGGAAGACCTAAAGATAGTGGTGGTGGATTTCTGCTGGAAGAAACAGAAGAAGATTTACCAACAAGACGAGTGGTTATCCTTCCGGCTCCACCGGTGGTTAGGCCACAATGTGAAGAATGTGGAGACGATTTTGTTCACTCGTATCTTAGCCTTCATTTTGATGTACTGGTCTGTGATAGTTGTAGGTAAGAAAATAGATGAAATTTTGGGTTCTTCAATGGCTTCTGTAAAACATTCATAAACAAAATAGCACAAAAATATTTGTATTTTATAAAAAAGTAGAATACCACAACAACCACTAAACTTTCAAAACCTTATAGCTCATTAGAAATAAAAACTAACATCCATATCCATTATACATCATATCATCAAGTAAGTTATTTAACTATTTTAAAAGTCTGTATTTAGGTTTTTAAAATTATGTTTGTTATTATATAAAAACAAGGATACTATGGGCATCCTTTTCTGTGCATGTCACGGGGTTACATTCAAAATTTATTTCAAGTGCTTTTTGTCATGGTATGTGAATAAACTTGACACCAAAACATAGCTAGTAATCCAAACTTTAATATAAGTTTTAATTTTTTAAGTCAATATTTAGAAAAAAATCCTTAATTTCCCCTAGTATAAGAATTTTGAAATTTGCCAAGTGGTTTAAAACTTGTGTGGTGGGAATATAAAGTATACACAGTTCAGAGGGTAATAAAATTTAAGTATAAACAGATGTCTACTGTTTAAAGCTATTTAGGATAAACAAATGTTACAATTTGAAGTCATTCTAGAAAGAAAAAAGGGTAATTTATACTTATTACAATTTGATTTTACAACCTTGCATAGAGTTAGGGTAAAGAAAATAACAGATAAGATATAAAGTTTTACCGATAAAAATTGTTTAAAAATTATTTAGCGGGTTTTAAAAATTATGCAAATGAAATTTGAGATTTTTCAGATGAAGAAAAGTATTTTTAATCTTAACATGAAAAATCACTTTGCACTCGGAGAAGTCAACCCCTTCATCCCATATATTCCTGGAGAAAGGTTTAGGAAAATACTTCATTAACAATTCTGAGTTTTTGTCTACAAAACACATAATGACTACTGAAAGCTTGTAAAATTTCGAGAAGATACACAGAACATATTAGAAGTTATAGTATGGAAACTATAAAATTCAGTTTCGTGTCACAAACTTGGCTGACCCAGAGGAAGATAGTTAAAAGGGTATTTAGCTGATCAGCTGCTCCTGTACGCTTTCAAACGATGAGCACCGTCTAAGCCTAAATGTATTCTTTAAAATCTCTATATGAAGCTGGATGAAATTTTAACTTATTACGCGTAATGTATTATCAAGTAAGGTATTCTAGAAGTTTATAATCATGAGAACAAATGTAACTCAAAGCTGATATGTATTTCCATTAAATCACTATTACTTTCCAGTCTCTGTTACTAAAACAGGCTTCACAGTGACAGTTCACTCAGAAGTTCTAAAGCCTCTCTACATAGCTCAGATTTTTAAAACCACACTACACTGGTTTTAACATGTTGATATCCATTATACAATAAGAGGATAAACTGTTATTGTTGTAGCCTCCACTACACCGGAATATGGACATGTACTACACCTATTGGTATTGTAGTGATATATGTAGATATCAACACTTCATTATTGTAGACCATACTACAG